CGCCCCGGCCTCCCGAGGCGCGGGCCCACAGGCGGAGGCCGGGCCGGCCCCATGTTTTCTTGAGGCAGTTCCTCAGTGTCAGAGCGTTGTACCCATACGTCTCTCAGTAAAAGAGCCTTTGATTTTTGCACACGAACGTGGTCCCGTGAAGACCTTTAATGGAGCGGGCATCCGGTTCGAGCGCGACGCCCTCATGTCCTCACGGCTCAGGGCCTCACCTCTCCGTCCGCAGAGGCCCTTCTCATCTCCCTCTCCAGGCCTGGGCGACCTTCTCGCCCTTCTTATCTTTGGGGGAGGTCTTCCCTTTCTTTCGAGCCCTGAGCACTTCATCAAGTCTCCCCAGTCCTTTCCGCACCACCACTCCCCTCCACCACGCCTGAATCTGAAAACAAGACAGACCCGCCGTCAGCACCGGCTGGCGGCCGGGGACGCGGGGGACCCGCGAGCTCCCCATCCTGACCCGGTGGGAACTCGGGGGCCGTGGGACGCGGGCAGAAGGCCAAGCCGCATTTTCCGTCTTTCTCAACCGGCCAGCCCCTCCGGCAAACGAGACCTGAATGCGCCCCGTGCCCCTGTGGGCCGGGCCCTGCTCTAGGCCGTGGGGCAAGGCCAGTGAAACCCCAACATCACGCCTCGATGGCGCTCACATCCCGCGGCGGAGGAGACAGCACTCGGCAAACACATGCAGCTGTGACGGGCCAGAGGTGCCGGCTGCTGTGGGGCATGACGTGCCTGTCCAACAATGGTGAGCATGTGTAATAAACCTCATGTTGTCTCAGGTGGCCTTGTACTAATAGTTTGGGTAATAGAATTGTATTTTTTCACACTAGTAATTTTAATGTGATATATCATTTTTTAATTTTAAAATTTAATTTATATAAACTACTTTTTTTATAAATTCTGCTGCCTGGAATTAAAAAGAGCCATCTATAGAAAACTTAAAATAAAAAATATAAATATGGATGACCATAGGGTCAATCTGAGGGGAAAGTGGGATGGAAAGACATATTCCAAAAGAAAAGGAAGACACGACAACACTTCTGCCTATAAAATAAGAGCTTGTTCAAGTATATGTAAGTCAATGCTGACAAGTCACAATGGTACGTAGATTCCATTGGATACATTTAAAATATCGATCTGTTAGTTCTGTTTTAAAACGTCAACACTTAAAATTCACCGGACGTCATGTCTTTTGCAATGATTTAAACATTGTGGCCAAAAATGTTAAATATTGATTTAAAGGTGTGCAAGAAGCCGGGCTCGGTGGCTCAGCCTGTAATCCCGCGCCTTTGGGAGGCTGAGGTGAGTGGACTGACTGAGCCCGTGGGCTCGAGACCCGCCCGGGCAGCGAGACCTCATCTCTACAATACATCAAAAAATCAGCCGGGCGTGGTAGCGCGCGCCTGTAGTTCCGGCTACTCGGAAGGCTGAGGCGGAAGGATGGCCGGAGCCCAGCAGGTCGAGGCTGCAGTGGCCGGGAGCGGCCGCTGCACTCCAGTCTGGGCGACCGAGTGAGACTCCAACTCAAAAAAAAAAAAAAAGTGTGCAAGATGGCGCATGATTTTTCAAAATGCTTTTAGGAAGCATCTGATAAACAAAAATACAGTTTGGGCAGGGCTTGGTAATCCCAGGACTTTGGGAAGCTGAGGTGGGAGGACTACTTGAGGCAGGCTGGGCAACATAGCAAGACCTGCCTCCACAAAAATAAAAAACTAGCTGGGCATGGCGGCATGCACCTGTAGTCCCAGCTACTCGGGAGGCTGAGGCAGAAGGATCGCCTGAGTCCAGGAGGTCAAAGCTGCAGTGAGCTATGATTGTGCCACTGCCCTCCAGCCTGGGTGACAGAGTGAGACCCTGACTCAAGAAAAGAAAAATACTATTTTTATTCTTTCAGTGTAGTCAATCCTGAATATATACACATTGAAATAAATATTTTAACATAAATTGATCTCCTGTTCTTTCTCCTTTATGCTACAACTCGTACATTATTTTGATTGATTAGAACTATGTGATTGGGTAGGTTTTAGTATTTCTGAATTTAATTTTGGAATAGAAAAGTAGGTATCACAAAATATTTATTATAAAAGAATGGATGTTAGGTCTGATAGGGTTGAGAGCCATGGATGCAGGACTCCAGAACAAAGACTGTGCCTCTCACTACAAGTGAAATGGAGGATTGTGGGTTTCAGCAGCATGGCGATCCAGCTCATGTGTATAGCATGGGTGTGACTGCTGAGCGGAAGGTTTGTTGTAGGGACATAGTGTGGGGGCAGGGACGCTAGTTGGGGCTGGCCGAGTTGTCCAGGTGTTAGATGAGGGTCAGGGACGGTAAGTTGGGGCTGACGCGGTGGTCTAGTGCGTGATGAGGGGACAGAGGTGTGAATCGGGGCTGATGTGGTCGTCCAGGTGTGAGGCGAGGGGGCAGGGATGCCAGAGGGGGCTGGCGCCGCCGTCCGGGTGTGAGATGAAGGGCCTAGATAGCTGGAGAGTGAAGAACACTGGCTGATGTGGACTGTTCCGTGCTCTCTGGGTGTCCCGTCTCCATGGGCTCATGGGCTAGAGCAGAATGGGGCGGGCTTCAGCCCTTGGGCCTCGTTGGTGGCAGAGAGAGCCCTGGGTACTAGGCCTCTCATCCACAGATGCTTTCATTTCCAATTTTTCAACATTATCTTACTGATTTTGCCAATACACGCTTTTCTCCCCACTCCAGGGAAACAGTCCAAGAATCTTAGACTGTTTTGGAATGTGAGGTTTTGGTTTCCTTTGCCTTTTTGTTGGCATCTTCTCCGACTGAGAGATAAGGGACATTAAAGACAAAAACGCTGGGGCTGACGTTAAAACATTCTCTCACTCAGCCCTGGGGACATACGTGTAAATAAGAGGCTTCTCTCAGGAGGGACAGGGTGCGGGTGTGCTCGGGGCCACTCCACGGGTAACCGTGACGTGGTTTTAACACTAGACCCCCGGTAAGCAGCAGTGGGCGTGTTATGAAGAGCCTCGGCTGGCTTTACCTTTGTTGCCATGATCGCCCTGGCTCTGTTTCTCCGGAGGTGCGCCCAGATGGCCTCGTTGCCCCCGGCACACACGTCCCCAGGGGGCTCCTCCATGGGGTTGTCCTTCAGCGTCAGGACCTGAAGGTTCACCAGGGCATCCAAGTTCTCGGGAAGATGGGTGAGCAAGTTGTCTTCCAGCAGTAACTCTCTCAAAGCTGAAAAGATTTTTTTAAATGGTGGCCCCATCTTAGGAGCAAACAGCACTGTCGCCTAGGTCTGCCCCAGTCTGTGAGGGACCCAGCTCTGCCTTTGGAAGAGAGGCGAGAGGATGAATGTTTGAGACTGACACCTTTCTACACCCTCCCACAGAGGGCCTGTCTCTGTGTGCGCTTTCTTGTTACATAGAGAAGAGAGGTCCACCTCCAAACAGTCCCGTCCCTCCAAGAGTGGGTGTCTTGAACTGAAACCCATAGCTCCCTGGTAAGAGACCCTCAGACCTGTTCTTTAGTCAGCAGAGTGCTGGAAACACTGATAGCGCACACCTTTGGCTGGGACACTCGTTCCCCATGGCCTCAACGCCCCCTGGGGTCACACCAAGTGTTGGCATGTAGGTGACACCTGCCCGGTCCCTAGAGACCATGGAATGTCCTGCATTGGGCTCACAGTCGCTTGCTACTTTCAATAAGCAAGTTAATTTTTTGAAAAAAATACTTTCTGGTGGAAAAGGACTATGCATAGCCCGGTGTGAAGAGAAACGTATGCATGCAGAAACGCAAAGAAAGCATAAAAATAATTCTTCCTCTCTTTCCCATCCCACCGACCTCTCACATCCTAACTGTCATGGGGAACCGCTGTTATCAGATTCCTGTGAATCCTTACAGAAAATATCCAGGCACACAGAGGTCTACAGAGACATGCACATAAAACTATAAATCAAATATTATTGCATCACATAGAATGGTCTGAATCTGTATTTTCTAGCACACGGAACTCTCTTAAATAGTTCACTGAAAGAGAAATAAAAATGGCTGGGAAGCACGGAAAAGAGGCTCAAAGCCACTCAGTGGACGCAATGTCAACTGGACACTAAAATGTGATGCTTTATCAACCAAGTAGGCAGAGATGAAAAGTCTGGTAACACCCAGCATTAAGGAGGGAGAAGCGAAAAATCACATTTAAATCATATTCATTGATAAATGAATCATAAACTCTCACTTTTCTCTACGCGGTTCATCAAAGGCGGTAAGTATAGGACACTTTGTCCTGACACTGGATGTTTGAAGAACGCAAACAAATGACGTGTAATAAAAAAGAACAAACAAAACAAAACCAAAGCGCGCTCCTTAGTCCAGTTACTGGGACATGTTTGTCTCCTGCTGTGCCATCTAATAAAAGGCATCCGACGGAAAGAGGCAAACCCGGTTCTCGTCTTCACAGCTCCGTAACAACTTAAAGTTGTCAGAGCACGGGTAAATGCATATCAGAGACAGGAAAGTCGTAACCACTGAAGGATGTGGAGGCCGTTCCAGTCCTCTAGGGACCGAGGGTGCATCACGAGGAGTTCTGCAGCCCAGCCTGCCTCTGGCATCCGAACGTCTTGTGGGGAGGCACCTGCTTCCACCCCACAATCACGCATCCTCCTTTCATTAAAGAACAGCCGTGGGCTGGGCTCGGTGGCTCAGCCTGTAATCCCACGCTTTGGGAGGCCGAGGTGAGTGGACTGCCTGAGCCCGCGGGTTCAAGACCCGCCTGGGCAACTTGGCGAGACCTCATCTCTACACTAAATCAAAAGTCAGCCGGGCGTGGTAGCGCACGCCTGTAATTCCGGCTAC